TATAATTTTGTTTTGTGGGATATTGTTATTTAATTGGTGCACCTGCAGCTTGTTGACGAATATATTAGCTACACCTAATTTTGCAGGTTAGGATTTAAAAGTTTACTTCAAGTAATTATATTGTTGTAAAAGTAAAATATTATGAATGATTTGAAGAAGTTTATCAAAAAGTCAAATTCGCTCATTTTAAGTTTCAGGTTATTCGGAATAATTTAACACAAAATTTAGAAAATGTTTTTACTTTTCCTTAAGTTCGGAAACAAGTTACTTTAATTAGTTTTGTGCGGCAATAGGTTAAGCCAGTGGTTTCCAACCTTTTTCGAACCTCGCCACCCGCTCAAATAAAAAAAAATTATTGTGCCTCCCTTATTAACTTCCCCAGTGGCGTAACTATAGGGTGGCGTGGGTGGCAAAATGCCACGGGCCCACGACCCAAGGGGGCCCCGGCCCAGAAAACCGCGGAATCAGAAATACATTTTTACATTGTACATAAATTTCATTTTACTTAAAACTTATATTTTATATTTTTTAAGTTCAAAGTCGGAGTTAATTATATTCAACCAGGCTTGCATCGAACTTACATTTGGCCGAATAGTTAATTAGTTAAAACTATATTGCGATGGATCTGCATTTTAAAATCTTTAGTTTATATAATATGATATCGAGAATGAATTAATGAATTTATTATTGTATATATAAATTGACTTTTAAGATAAAAAACGAACACGTGAAGAACTCTTTTTTCAATATCAGGGGCGTAGAGCGCCTTTGCGGGGCCCCGTATTAAAATTTGTTTGGGGGCCCATTTGAGAAGAATTTTTTTATCACAAACTATAAAAATACACAAAATTAGAAGAATAGTTATTTAACATATGTTATGAATATTCTCATTATTTTTCTGTCTAATTTTCTATGATTTTCTGTATTTTTCATAAATGATTTCAGATAAAAATACTCTCATCATATCTTTTTTCGAAAAACTGAATTATTAAGTGATTTTTAGATTTTCTAAAGTTTCTATCTCAAGGAACAATAGTGACAGGTCTGGTCCTAAAGTTATTATGTAACTTTTTTTCAGTTTTAATTTGGAATGGTATTGGTAATTGTAAAGTACATACAAAGTTTTAAAATCTTTTTAAAATATTTTGCAGCAGAAAAAAATTCTCTTAAAGCATTAGCTTATAAGTTGAAGTTCACCGCTCGATAACTACGTCCAAGTTATTAAATTTTTTATAAATCATCATTTGCTTTAGAGTCTGCATCAATTTCTGCTTACGCTCGTTGGGCCCCCCTGGCCCTGGGGCCCCGTATTTTTGATACGGCTGATACGGCGGTAGCTACACTCCTGCTCAATATTCAAAGAATACATTATTGTTATAGTTAAATGCCATTTAATATTAATCATTTAATGGCTACGTGCATGAGTTGTATGTATATACAATGAAGTCATTTCTTCTAAATAAAGAGCTATCTTAGGTTTTTTATCGTAGAAAATACAAACATTATTTTTGGTTTTGAAAATTAAAAGCAGATTATACTTCTGACATGTGGACTCCGACAAGTCTCTTTCTTAATTTTATTTATTATAATCGGTATATTGCTGATTATACTATTTGTTGCAAGCCTAACTTCAACACATTCTAAACAAAAGGATTTTATTCGTTTTAGAAGACATCCACTGGTTTCTTCATATTTTTTCGCGTTTCTTTAAACAGTTTATGAATTTTAATTATTAACATTCACATAAAAAGATGTTTGCAAACTACAATTATGTTATTATATTATTATAGGTTTTCCCAATGGGTTTTCCATTGTCATATTTTACTACTATCGACGCAGCGTCTGAAGCGCTATAATTTGAAACCCCCGATCTTTCAAATGCTATAAACATTTAAAAAATTGTTAAGAATTAGAAAACTATTGACATGAATTTGGATGATTCATTGACATGAATTTAAAATTAAACGCCACTAATGTAGTAGAAAAATGATTTATCAATCATGAATTTTTTAAAACTCGTCACAGGATGGTAATACGCTATTTTGACAAGCTTTGGGAATTTATATTTAAGATGCTGGAAGTTTGTTCAAAATGAATATATCGGGTATTGGACATTTTTATTAAACAAATTAAAGCTTGTTTCTTCCGATGAATTAATATGTTCCAAATTTCAGTATTTTGCTACAATAGAAGTTTTCAATGATACTCATCTATTAAATAAAAGCCCTATAATTACTTCAGATAAAAAAGACATTAGAAATTCAGAATAAACAAATTTTAAAATGATTATTAATAGATGAGTACCATAAAAAAAAACTTTTGTTCAGATTCTGAACCATTTGCCAGAGAAATGTAGTTTTCGATCAACTTTCAGAGGCAGAATAGGAAACTCTTCAGAATACACTTTTACGCAACTGAAAGCAGTAAGAAAAGATTTCATTTTCTAAATAGCTTATTGAAGTTAATATTTTATTTTTATTTCATTTTGGGTTAACTATTGTTTCTTCAAGAAGAAGCTGCATGACAAATGTCTTCATCTTCTTTGAAGAAAATTGTCTAAAAGGTATTAAAACGGATTGGATTTCCGAGAAAATGAATACATTTCAATACTGTTCTCAATTGTTTAAATAATAAATTTTCATGAAGATCGAACGTCATTACTTAATCAATAAAATTAATTGCAATAAAAAGAAATTGTTAATAGAAAGTTATGTAATAATTAAATTTAAGAAAGTGGTATTTTTTTAATTTTTATTAAAAAAATACGTTTAATTTTAATTTCCATTTATTATAACGTTGAAATTATTCACTGATATTTTTCCAGAAAAATTAATTTTATGTATTTTTTTGTTATTTTTATATAATTACAACTAAATTATAATTATACCTCTAAATCAATACTTTACTTTTCTACCTTTTGTATAATTTCATAATTTAAAGCCATAAAATATAAATTAGTCGTAGTTGCTTTGCTAATTGTGATAAAATTTATTAAAAATTGTTTTAGCCAGTAGCAAAACAACGTGTAAATGATTATTAACGTTCATTAAACAAAATTAGATAAATTAAAAATTGAGTACCACGATAGGGCCCCATCGGATGACTTTGCCACGGGCCCCGGAGAGTCTAGTTACGCCACTGAACTTCCCTTAGGATATATAATCAAAAATGACACTTTTTTATATATCTTTACTTTTATTTTAATTTTAGCTAACATTTTAAAACTCTCTTACATACTTCAAATAAATAAAATTAATTTTGCAATTCAGTTTATATAAGTCTTATAAATATGAGATAAGTTCGTTCATTCTAAATCCGCTTGATCCACTTTTGTTTATTTACTTTTTATGTAGACATATATAAACGTCGTCATACAAATTATAAGCTCTTATATTTTGTCATTTAAATACAAATAATGAAAGTAACAGTAATTATAATAATCTATTTGAAATCATTTATTATTCCTCGAATATTTTATTAAAGTACGGGCAGTTTCAGCAATTTACCTTAAGACACGATGCCATGCACTATAGTTGAATATTTCAAATCGGTTGATCCGTGCTCCCGAAAACGTGAACAAAAAATTGTATTGCACACACACACATACACACATTCATTTTTTCTAAATTATGCCAAAATGTTCAGAAACCTTTGAAACGTAAAATTTTTATTTTCGATTTCAATAACTTACCCTACGGAAAGTCATTTTAAATGTAAGTAGGCCTTCAAACAAGTAGATAAGTAAATCACATACACAATTGATATTGATTGAATAGATTATTTATATAAATCGAAAATCACTCAGACAAGACCACTTACTACTAGTTTGCTACTAAATTTCTATTAGAATTAATACTTCAACTATAATACAAAAATTATAATTAAATTAATAGCAAATACATTAGCCATAAAGTTGTGCTTCATTTAGATTTACGCTTCCTTTTTGATCGATTATAATTAAATCTTTTTAATTGTTTACTATTACTATTTCATAAAACTAATTATGCTGTAATTATATCAGAAATAAAAAATGCTCCAAAAAAATAAAAGACACAATAAATAAAATAATTTTCACTTCGTAAGATACACTTCTCTTTATTTCAACATTTCTGGTGTCGGCTTAACACTATCATAAAAAATATTTAACATTTTCTATGGGAAATCTATGAAATACATGTAACGTAGCTAAAAAGTAACGAGCAAATATCATCCTCGGAAGTAATTGATGTTCATAAGTATACGTAGGGGGAAGTCACCAAGTGGCGGACACCTAAGGTTATTTATAAATAAATCAAAAAATATTTTACGAAATGTTTATTAAATCATGATTTATGTTAGATAACAAAGTTAGAAATCAAACTAAATTAACAAAACCGCAATCTTTGCTAAAAATAATTAATACTATCATTCAAACTTTGGTATCAAAAAATATGATTTAAAACAGTGGCACCTAGTACCGGACCCTTCGAAATAACCTGCATTGATCACTTATGAAGCCATCTTCACACTCTGGAATGTCTGCACATGTGTCTTTGACGAATATTCTTATATATTGCAAAAAAAAATCACTATTCATCCACCCTTTTGGCTGGCCCACACCGAAGCTCTCAGCATTCAACATAAGATTTTCATTCTTTGACTAGGAAATACGAAAAATGGGGGTATGTTGTGACCGTTAGCACTCATACAGAACAAAATTAAATAACTGGAATAAATTACGTAAATTCTCACAAGAAATATCAATATTGTTTATGACTACGTATTATGACTTAGTGTCCGGTGCTAAGGGACAGACATGTTCGTTCATTTGGTGGTACCTACTAAAATTGTTTAAAATATCTAATATTATTCTACCATTGTACGGTTAACAATCAAGTACCAACCCAACTATTATACGTTACGCAACATATTATTAACCTAACAGTTTTTTACTTTAAATTAATATAATTACCAACAGGCTAAATATAAATACTTGTGTTAAAACATTTTTTTAATTTTCTATGCGTAATTTATACTGAAAATCAAAATTGCATAAATTTACGAATAACTTGCAATCAAATTTTTTGATAACCAGAATGCTTTGAAGAAATTTATTAACATTATTGTTTTCAGTTCAAACCATCAGTCACAATCCAGCATCCAATGCAATAGGCGAACTATTGAGTGGTAATTATTTTTTCAACAATAAAACCATATGCAAATATCTTTCATTTTTCAATTTTAACATCTTTTGCCATTTTCTAGTGGATCCAACTAACGGAAACCAACCGTCAAAAGTTCCTAATGGACAGATGCCTGGTACATCAAATTGTCAGTATATTTATTTATTAATATACGAATTTTATTACTTTGTTCATCACATATTATGTAAATAGTTATACTTGTTTATAATAAAGTTGAATAATATATTAAATTTATTATTTTAGCCGGGTCTGGAAATCAAATTCGTCAACCTATTTCTAATCAAGACTTAGATGTTAGAGATAGGCTTAGTAAAGGTAAACTGATCTTTTATATAATTCATAATAGGATTATTTTGGTATAGCTGTCTTTGTTATCTTAAAAGTTTATAGTAAGATAACAAAAAGGAAAGAGAAATATTAAGTTCTTGAAGTGTTGGTGATTACTTCATAGTATGCATCCAATTCATAAGAATTACCAGCAATATAGTTGCCACATTTTTCTCCCGATTTCTACGCTATTGGTTTCTGCTTGTTTTAAATTTAACATTTTATGTAATTTGTCTCAAATACAGTTTAGGGATCATCCTTATATTTAGACTTTTAATATCTCTATAATAGTTTACTAGGAAGCTTTCTGTCAGTTTATAAATTAAGCTCTCATTGGTATCTTAGCACTTTTCTAACAATATCTTTAATATGATAACGCTGTAAATGGTACCTCTTTTATTTCTTTCATATACTTTCTTGTACCTATATTTAATTTTCAAAATAAATTGAATAACTTATACTTTTTATCTCAGCACTTCTCTCCTTTCTATCGCCTTCTCAAATAAAATTATTGTTACTATGCCCTCCCCTATATACGAGTATATTTCATTCATAAATAATTAATTTTTTTATGTAATTCTTTTAAGTATACAAGAAATTTTTTTTCAGAACCGCCATCTTGTGAGCCATCTGCTACTTTCGTACCAGGACAAGGTAAGATTTGCAAAGACCAGTTGATCTTTGAAGAAAGTTTTACTTTAGGAAAATTAGACAGGACAAAATGGAAGCATGATTGTCATATGGCCAATATTGATATGGTATGTAAGAATTTATATTATTGTTAACTTCCCGTAGGGTAAGTTATTATAATGGGCCGAAAATCGGAATTGAAAATTTTTACATTTCTCGACGTTTTGAAGGTTTCTGAACATTTTGGCATACCTAAGAAAAAATGGATGGATGTGTGTGTGTGTGTGTGTTTGTGTGTATGTATGTATGGATACAAATTTCCAGTCACGTTTTCGGGCGCACGGAACAACCGATTTGAATGATTCAAAAAACATTCGATTTTTATTGATAGCGAAAAGAGCTGATTAGTTTTTGGCAAAAGCAGGTCCAGCCGTTTCGGAGATACGGAGCAAAGAGTGCAGAAAATAGAAATCGACTTTTTGAGAGAACGGAGTATCCGATTTGAATGATCTAACAAACATTCAATTAGTAATGATTGGGAGAAGTGTTTATTAATTTTTGGCAAAGGCAGGCCCAGCCATTTCGAAGATACGGAGCTAAATATGTAAAAAATGGCAGTTTTTGAGAACGCTAAGTGTCCGATTTAAATGATTAATTCGCAAACCTACGGGAAAAAATTCAACATTTTCAGAAAAATTCGAAATATAAAAAAAAAATCGAAATATAAAAAAATCTAAATTTTCAAAAAATTCAATTTTTTTCACAAACTCTCAAAAATCTCATTTTTGAGATTTTTGATAATTTTTTTCAAAGTTTTCAATAAATTTTAAAGGTTTTTTTTATCTTTCCGTAAGGTAGTTATAGTAATGGGTCGAACTTCGAAAATGAAAATTTTTGCATATCTTTACCTTTTGAAGGTTTTTGAACATTTTTCCATACCTCAGAAAAAATTAATGTGCGTGTGTGTGTGTTTTGTATGCCCGCATTTTTTCGTTCACGTTTTCGAGCGCACAGATCAACCAATTTTGAATGGTTCAAAAAACATGCGATTCCTATTGATAGGGAGATGTGCTGATTAGTTTTTGGCAAAGGCAGGTCCAGCCGTTACGGAGATACGTAGCAAAGAGTGATATAAAAAACATTCAATTTGTAACGATTGGAAGAAGAGGTGATTAGTTTTTAGCAAAGGCAGGTCCAGCCATTTCGAAGATACACAGCAAAATGTACAGTTTTCGAGTGAACTAAGCGTACGATTTAAATGATTCAAAGAACTTTCTGCTTGTTTTAACAAAATAATTACTTTTGGAAAATAATTGTCTCAATTTTTTTTTTTAATTTTGACTAAATTTCTAAAGCTGACTTAAACAAATAATTTCAACTTTGCAATTCAGTTTATATAATTCTTATGAATATTAGACAATGTTACAATATTTATAATAATCTATTTAAAAACATTTAATATTCCTCGAACAATTCGTTACGTTACGGAAAGTTCATACAATTTGCCTAAAAGCATGATTAAAGCATGATGCCACTCACTAGTTTTAATTTTCGGTACGAGACGTTCCAACAATTTGCCTTAAGACACGACACACACACCACTAGATATTTTATGTATCGAATATTTAACTAGTGGGGTGCATGTCATTGTGCCTTAAGGCAAATTGCTGTAACTTTCCGTACCGTAATTAAAAATCTTGGTACGGAACCCAAAAAAAATTACACAAAATGTGTACACATTATGAAAATCTCTATAAAATATCTGATAATTTGATGTGCATAAGTCCAATAAACATTTCTGACCGCCAAATGACTTTTTAAACTTATTTTTATTGAGAGACCATAAACGCTGAACTTGCATTTCCAAAAATTTAATCAGTTTTTATATTGTTATTTCAAGTAAAATGTTTTTTGAATTATTAAAATCGAACGCCCCGTTCTCTTAAAAACTGAGTTACCGTTTTTGACACTTTTTGTCCCGTATCTTCGCAACGGCTAGACCCCCTTTCGCCAAGAACTAATCAGCACGTCTCCTTATCAATAAGAATCGAATGTTTTTTTAATTATTCAAGTCGGTTGATTCGTATTCGAGAACGAAAATTTGTATCTGCACACACACACGCACACACATACATCCATTTTTTCTAAAGTATGCCAAAATATTCAGAAACCTTTTTTAAAGGTATATAAAAATTTTCATTTTCGATTTTTTTGAGATTACTATAACTTGCCCTACGGGAAGTTAATTACGGTACAAGAAGTTCCGGCAATTTACCATATATGTATATTAAGGCACAATGCCATGCACCACTAGTATTATATTTATTTTACAGGACAACGAATTTGTATCTTATCAAGCAAAACCTGAAAATATTTTCGTCAGTGATAAAAGTTTAATGTTTCATCCGACTGTTTTGAATGATGCAGATTTTGTTGAAAGCGGAGAATTGGATCTTGCAAGCACGTAAGTCAATCTATTAATCGATGAATAAATAAATAATTATTAATGAATAATGTATTTATTTCGGAAGAAGTTTTATTAGCGTTGTATTTACCTTTAGCGAAGATGTTATTTGGAAAATGAATTAAATACTATAGTTGAAGCAATTTATTTATTTTATTTATTTATTTATAATAAATATTATTTCTCTTCATAAGCTTGACAATAGCTAAGTATTTAAAATATTCATAGTAGCTGCACGATTCTCTGAAAAAAAGAGATGAAAAAAAGCATTCGATTAAATAGAATGTTCATAATCAAGTTCATCATATTAAAGTCTATTAGACCACCATTCAAGCCCAAAATTCTTGCACAAGGTTGAAAGTTATACTGATTTAAAACCGTAAAAATTAAATTAATAAAATAGCCATAGAAACTATCAAAATTATATAAATAAAACTATCATAAATAAACATAAAAACATGGTTGTACAAGAAATCAAATGGTCAAATTACATAGATAAAACAAGGATTATGCAAGAAAATAGTTATTGAAATCAAATTGAGAAAATTCTGTAATGTCATAAAAAGTTAATTCTTTAAAATTTAACTAAAGTAGTATGGAATTTTTTGTTGTCAAGTTTCGGACACTGAGTGGAAGTTTATTTATAAGTGAATATGTGCGCGCCTTATAGTTTGTGTCTGGTGTTAGTTGGAGAAGCCGAAGCCATATTAAAAAGTTTCGAATTGTTTTTGATGAAAGATAATGTTACCAGCATAAAAATACATGGGAAAGTTAGAATATTGTGCTTTTGAATATGGGCTTGCAGGAGGCTTTACTGGGCAAGGAAAAAATTATTCGTATAGCTCTTTTCAGCTCTTTTCTGAAGCTTAAAATAGAAATATTTTAATTAGTTTGGATGAAAAACCCCGGAATTAGATACCGTATGAAACGTGGGAGTTAAAGTTGCTATAATAAACTAAAAGAAAGCAATTTAAACTGAGATTATGATCAAATTTCAATTAGAAAGTCACAAAAAAGACGAGAATTGATCACTTTTCGAGTTATATATAAAAAATGAGTGGACCATTAAAATGACTATTATAAAAATAGAGATTTGTGATGAAAATTTAGACTTCTATTTATTTTTTAATTCTGCATTAAGTAAATTTATATAAAGAAAATTTACCACAAATCAAAAGAAAAGTGTTAGGTAAAATAATTTTTTTAAGTAAATTTAAGTTTTTTTATGAACTCAGGTTTTCATTGACTGAAATGTGGGTTTTTCAGTGTTTTTAATTTTATAAATATCTGCCAAATCATTTCGGACGAGTATTGCGACAAATATCATGACCTGAATATATTATATTATATATAGATATGCTGTATATCTTTCTAGATGCGGTTGTGCACCAATGGCATATGGCGAGTGCTCAAGGAAGGCCATGTTCTATAATATATTACCACCAGTAGTGTCTGCCAGTATCAGATCTAAATTCAGTTTCAGGTATGGAAGAATTCAAATCGATGCTAAATTACCGGAAGGAAACTGGTAAGTAGAGTTTAGGGATGATCGAGACAATCAGGGATGATCAGAAAAGTCTAAAAGTGTAAATAAGTAAATTTGAATTATCTTGAACTAATAATTATTCTTTTTCACAAGTTTTGAATTTGGAACCCAAGGATTACAATCATGGATCCGGCTATAAATCCGGTGCCATGAGGATCGCTTTTGCGAGAGGAAATAAAGTCCTGAAATCCCAGGAAACAGATTACGACTTTGGATCTTCAGAATTAAGTGGTGCCTTATTATTTAAACACGATGATCCTGTCAGGAATATCACCGCCAAAGTTTATAAAAACGTTAATAAGGAATCTTGGGCAAATGCTTTTCATAAATACGAACTAGAATGGACACCCTGTAAGTGTTTATCACTTTCTAGTTAAGATGTTCCAATAATTTTGTGGTATTCTTTTAGATCATGTATGTTTCATAGTTGATAATATCAAATATGGCGTAATATTGCCTCCAAAAGGTAATTTTCCATCTGGACAAAGCCAAGATGTAACTAAAGGTGAAAATTGGAAGAATCATATGCCGATGTTTAGCGAACTGGTAAGTAAGCTTTGAAACACAACACAGATTGTCCAATAATTCTTTTTAATAGTTCTTATAATTTTGCGATAAAGGGCATTTTGACCACTAATATATTTTACATTTGAAAATCTTGAATACACACATGAGAATCAGAATTGATGTCTTCATTTCAAGAAACCAAAGTGTGTTATTTTTGCTTTTTCACACGGCTGATTGTAAAGTATTGGCCTTCTTGGAAACTTTTGCTGGTATACATGCAATTTCTCTACCCTGTGCTGCTTCTGCCACGGTCCCTCTGTTTTTAAGGGATGTATTGTTGCGTTAAAAAGACAATTTGCTAACGTTGGTAATAGCAGAAAAACCACGCTCTAATATTTTATTTATTTTCACTTCTTTCACAGCAATAATTAATTTTTCTTAATTCACCACTTTTTGGGAGTTTTCTGTTTTTTAACAGGCATTATGAATGACGAGATAAAAATAAGTAAATAAAACGTTCGATTAATTGATAAAAACCCTTTACTGTGCAAAGAACGGCATTATGCAAGTGGCCATTGTCTGTCCACAAATAGTGGCCCATCTACAAACGCCTTTTTGCATATGCATCCCACAAACACAATGTAAACAATCGGCAAAAAATAACTTTGCATTTCAAAGATATATATATATTATATATATATATATATATAAATATATATATATATATATATATATATCTTCTATATATATAAAATAAGTCGCGTTTCCTTCCTGACGAAATAACTCCAGAACGCACGAACCGATTTCGACAATTTTGCATTCGTTGGAAAGGTCTCGAGCTCCGCAAGGTTTATAGCTAAGAAAATTAGTTGTGCATGGCATCGTGCCTTAATGGAAGCTGCTGGAACTTTACGCACCGTAATTAAAAATTCGAGTAATAAAAATAATCAATAACTGTTTTTAATAATTTCAAATAGATTATCTTCTATATATATATAAAAATTAGTCGGGTTTTCCTTCCTGACGAAATAACTCCAGAACGCACGAACCGATTTCGACAAATTTGCATTCGTTGGAAAGGTCTCGGGCTCCGCAAGGTTTATAGCTAAGAAAATTAGTTGTGGCATGGCATCGTGCCTTAATGCAAGCTGCTGGAACTTCACGCACCGTAATTAAAAATTCGAGTAATAAAAATAATCAATAACTGTTTTAAATAATTTCAAATAGATTATCTTCTATATATTATATATATAAAATTAGTCGGGTTTTCCTTCCTGACGAAATAACTCCAGAACGCACGAACCGATTTCGACAAATTTGCATTCGTTGGAAAGGTCTCGGGCTTCGCAAGGTTTATAGCTAAGAAAATTAGTTGTGCATGGCATCGTGCCTTAATGCAAGCTGCTGGAACTTTACGCACCGTAATTAAAAGTTCGAGTAATGACATTAGTGAGAATTATCAGAATTATGCTTGGTTAAGTCAACGAGCAATTCTTGCCGCAAAGAATAATGATGTACACGCCCTGAATTTCACCATACAATCAAAAATTGCTGGCGATTTGGTGACATACCGAAGATTCTGACTGGTCTTCCGTTTGACTTCAAACGATTGCAATATCCAGTTCGCCTTGCGTTCGCAATAACATGTCGCAAGGCCAATTGCTTAGTGTTTGCGGGATAAATTTCAAATAGATTATTTAGAAAATCATTGTTTTTCACATGGGCAGTTATACGTTACCTGTTCACAAGTTGGAAAACCATCCGCTTTGTTTGTGTTAATGTCAGACCAAAAAACAAAAAATGTGGTTTACCAAAGATCACTTCCATAATTTGCGGGTTCACTTTCATTTACTTAGAGAAGTTCAACTAAAAAACACTTCATTTTTGTAATCAAAATAAATTCGTTACTGTTGTATAATAAAATCAAATTTCTCCTTTAAAATATAAAACAAACAAAAAATTTCTTCATCTTTCTCACGAAACTATCTGGTGGCGAAACGGAGTTCGTCGGGTTTGCTAGTATATATATATATATTTCTCGTGAAAATTAGATGAGAAATCACTTAAGAGCGTACAACGGTAAAAACTTTTGCGACGAAATTCTAAGTGCGTTTCAAAAAAAAAAGTGCGTTTCTCTCATAGATAAACAAGTATAAAGTGGTTTCTCTGTACAATGCGGGAGTAGGTTTATAACCTCGAAATGCTTTTTAAAATTGAGCAAAAATCAAAATATGATAAATATGTGCGTGGTTCGACATACATGTCACTAGTCTTGAGGTTATTCGAGTGGCCCTCTCCAACCTGTGGTCCACGTCTGTCCACCGCACCCTACTGCAACTTTTTTAGACATAATGTAAGAATTTAGTAGGACTATTATAAAAAAATAAATAAACAAACCTAATCAATCCGATTTAAAATGAAGAACATTGTCTAATATTTATAAGAATTTTATCAACTAAGTCGCAAAGTTATAATTATCTAGAACCTTAGCTAGAATTATAATTAAAATCCAAATAATTTTCGAATTTAATTTTTTTTTTCCGAAATAAAAAAAAATCTTTCTCCAAAAGCAATCGTTTCATCAACACAAAAAGAAAGTTTTTTGAATCATTCAAATCAGATGCTTAGTTCTCTCAAAAACTGTCAGTATCTTTGAAACGGCTGGACCTGTCATTGCCTAATCTAATCACCACTTTTCCATATCGTTACGAATTAAATGTGTTTTGGATCATTCAAATCAGATGCTTCGTTCTCCCAATAACTCGGGTTCTATTCTCTGCATTCTTTACTTCGTATCTCCAAATCGGCTAGACCAACTTTTGCCAAAAACTAATCAGCGCGTCTCCTTATCAATAAGAAATTATTGTTTTCTGTATCATTCAAATCGATTGTGCTGTACGCCGAAATCGTCGGCGAAAATTGTATCCACACATACACTTCCATTTTTTAATGCATGCCAAAATATCCAGAAAACTCTGAAACGTAAAGATATGCAAAAATTTTCAATTTCAATTCTTGGACGACTACAATCACTATATATTAATTTCAAAATAAGAAAAATTTCAAATTTTTCAAAAAAAAAATTTTTTTTTTCAAAATTTCGAAATTTTCAAAAGTCTGTTAACTAAAAACATTTTGAGAGAAGGTCTCAAAAACTGAATTACCATTTTTGGCACTTTTCACACCGTATCTTCAAATCGGCTGAACCTGCTTTGCCAAAAACTAATCAGCACGTCTCCAAAGCAATAGGAATCGAATGTTTTATAAATCATTCAAATCGGTTGATCCATGTTTTTGAAATCATCGACAAAAATTGTATTCAAATATACATATATATATATATATATATATATATATTATCAGGCGTACATACATACATACACATACTTGCATCCATTTTTTCTAAGTCATTTCAAAATGTTGTGAAGGTTTTAAACGTAAAGTTTTATGATAATTTTTATTTCCATTTTTTTTATTATTACTATAACTTACTCTACGAAGATTTAATTAATAGTCATAGCAACTGTAAAGGCTAAATTTTTTTGACAAAGTTCTTTACTGGGATGTATAAAGTACGATCTTTATATAAATATTCTCATGATGTATATATCATTATATCTAGAAATCCAGGAATTATATTTTTACGGATAAATAAAATACCAGATCAAGGTCATTTACAGTTATATCTAGGTAAAAAATGCCCAATGCGACTTATTTTATATTTTCTAAGAGCAGTTCAAAGAAGAAATACTTCATTTATTTTCTACCTCTTTTCGCAGAAGTTTGAAAATTTTGTAGAAACTCAGTAGAATTATTTAAAATTATAGTACACAATTCCAGAATTCAAAAAGATATAAAAACTTGAAACGTAATTAGTATTCGATTAATTGGAGTTACAGTTGACTATATAAATGGAAAGACCAAAAAAGTCATCGATTGAATTATACCATGATTTCCAGAGAAAATGTATAAACCATCCAATTTGATTGTATTTACAAAATATGGATAAACGAATATTGTTAATATAAATTATATAATATTAAAAAAGTAGACTTTGGGGTTTAATTATTTTTGTTTCTCCAAGTCTATAGTATTCAAACAACACATCCTTACACACTTATAATAAAGTATTATTTTTTTTTGATTATCTAGAAATTGTTTAGAAATACCTTACTCAGCAAAACAACGTTTGCCGAGTCAGCTAGTATATATATAATATATTTTGTTTATTAAATTACAGATGGTTGTTCGTTTAGGCTTAGGTGCAGGAGGAATTACCGATTTTCCTGATGGCACATCCTCCAGCAGTTCCAATGGTGACTTTGCACCCAAACCTTGGGAGAATTTCAATCCAAAGTCGATGCTCAGGTAAACAGCGATATTAATATATATATATATATATATATATATATATATATATAAATATATATTATGGTGGTCCATAATATGGACATTTTGGAATTTCTTTGCTCCCAAGGGCTCAAATGCTTCCAAATTAATAAAAAATTATTCTTAAATAAATTAAAGTTTTAGCTCTCAATGTTCATTTAGATAGTGCGCAATTCAATCAAAGTTTTGTATGGAAATAGCATGAGAAAATTTTCAAAAATTTTGAAAATGTTTTTTAGATATAACTTAGCGAACTAATGAATGAGTTTTATTCAAAAAACGTTCTACAAATCAAATTATAAAAAACCTGTTTTGCAGAGCGTCGAATTATCAATAAAAAAGACACGAATTGTCACTTAATTCATTTGTCGCTAAGTTATACCTAAAAATATTTTATAAAATTTTTGAATTTTATATATATATATATATATCTTCTATATATATAAAAATAAGTCGGATTTTCCTTCCTGACGAAATAACTCCAGAACGCACGAACCGATTTCGACAATTTTGCATTCGTTGGAAAGGTCTCGGGCTCCGCAAGGTTTATAGCTAATAAAATTAGTTGTGCATGGCATCGTGCCTTAATGCAAACTGCTGGAACTTCACGCACCGTAACTAAAAATTCGAGTAATGACATTAGTGAGAATAAATTATCAGAATTATGCTTGGTTAAGTCAACGACAATTCTTGCCGCAAAGAATAATGATGTACACGCACTGAATTTCACCATTCAATCAAAAATTGCTGGCGATTTGGTGACATACCAATGATTCAGACTGGTCTTCCGTTTGACTTCAAACGATTGCAATTTCCAGTTCGCCTTGCGTTCGCAATAAGAAGTCGCAGGGCCAATCGCTTAGTGTTTGCTGGATAAATTTCAAATAGATTATTTATAAAATCATTGTTTTTCACATGGGCAGTTATACGTTGCCTGTTCACGAGTTGGAAAACCATCCGCTTTGTTTGTGTTAACGTCAGACCAAAAAACAAAAAATGTGATTTACCAAAGAGCACTTCAATGAAACGGATAATATGCGAATTCACTTTCTTTTACTTAGAGAAGTACAACTAAAAAACACTTCATTTTTGTAATCGAAATAAATTCATTACTGTTGTATAATAAAATCAAATTTTTACTTTTCAAATATAAAACAAACAAAAAATTTCTTCATCTTTCTCACAAACCATCTGGTGGCGAAACGGAGTTCGTCGGGTTTGCTAGTATATATATATATATATATCTTGATAGTTTTTCGACGTTGAAACATATTTCAAAGTAACTAGCAGCCCATTCGTCGAAATAAAAAAGGTATAAAGTATAAAAACTTTTATTTATACGTTTCGACACAAGATGCGTGTCATCATTCAGCAACTACAACAATTTGAAAATTTTATTAACTAATATAAACAACAATATAGATTAATTATAGCATAGAGAAACATTATACACACCACAGGACAAAAACACTCAACAAAAATTTATTTTAAAAAATTAAACTTAATAACATATTAGAGAAAAAAACATTTTTTTAGAAAAAATTATGAATAACTAAAAGATTTGAAAACTAATTTGACTAAAAGTATGAAATGCATCATTGTGAAGCGAGAAACCGCCCATACCGAGCATCCAGACTCGACTGAATTATTTCAATAGGCGTATTGATAGGAATGGGAGGGGACGCATCAAGGACAAATTCTCGAGGCACGAAAACGCATCGAACACAGTGGTTGAGCTGGAATTGATCAAAAGGAAAAAGCAAACCATGTAAAAGTTAGAACAAGAAAAAACAATATTGTAAAAAATAATATAAAAGAGATAAGCAAATTAATTTTTTGTTTTTTTAATAAAATCAATAACAATCTGGTAACTATCATGTAAAAGGTGGGATGAATTGCGTTTATTAACACAAGAGGAGGAATTTAAAGAAATAAAAAAGGATTCAGCGAATTTTCTAAGGTCACTATTTTTTTCGATATAAAGAATAACAGGATGTGAAGTGTTAAAAGTGTGATTGAGATTGAGCATATGATCTGAAAACATCATTTTGAACTGGTTTAGATTTTTTGAATTATAAATATGTTGATTAACTCTCTTATAAATATACTGGGAACTTTCTCCAATATAACACATGTTGCAATCATTGCAATCCAACCTGTAAACAGAATCGGTGACCCTATCAGACGGGGTTCCAGACTTAAGAACCGAAAAAAGGCAATTAAAAGTATTATCAAAACTAAAAACTAATCGGAATCCTTCTGAAGAAAATAACTTTTTTAAAAAATACGAAAAATTGCTTAAAAAGGTAAACAGATAGTTCCTTTGTATTGGGCGGAAGAGGAAGCTGTTGAATTTGAACAAGAAGGTGAAAATGAATTATTAGAATTCGTTTGTAAATAAATTAATCTATTATTAATGATGTTGTTGACCAAGTGCGAAGGGTAACTATTGTC